AAGAATCTGCTAACTAATACCTTAGAGTTTTTAAAAACACATTCATTCCTAAGGATTCTCATTTTTCATGCCTGTTATCTAATGTCGTCCCATAGTATTGCAATTCAAAGTGGGAGATGGAGCATCTAAATGACTTGTATCATGTAATTTTAGAGGAGATGGATCAGATTGGGAATCTAATTTATATGCCAGTGTCTTTTAAACTTACTGGGTACCTGTATATTTACAGGCAAATGTGTTTACTTAAAAATAGACAAGGTTATGTTATGTAATTGTGTTTTAGAGCAGCAATGCACTCTCTCAAAAATTGTTTTATTAAGTCGGTTTTATCTTGCCTTTAACTTTCTCCTCTGTGACTGTGGTCAGTATCTGATCCTCAAAATAAAATCCGCATTTTAGCATCCCAGACAGGCCAAAAAAGTGAATCAGAGAACTAGTTCTCTTCCAGTGTCCATGAAACAGCAGACATAACCTCTGAAGTTTTTTCCTTCAGTATATATGACATTTATAAAAACCATAGAATGTTAAGGAAAGCAGCATCTAGCAGATTTCACCATCAGCCCTTAACTAAAAGAAACTCATTGACTCAGTGCAAGGCCCTACAATGAGCAACACATGGATTAATGCCTGGGGATGAAAATTCCTAATTGGAGATTATAATTGCATCCAGCTTTAATATGTGATTTTGTAAAAGAATTATTTAAGACTCCTACTTATATTTACAGCTGTGTGACCAAAAAATCTCTCCAAGAACAAATTCTGTCTCAGTTAACAAAAACAGACTAAGCCTCTCAAACAGCGTGCAGCCTCCTCCATCTGTAACCTGCACTGACCTCGCCTGTAGCTTCCATGCCCTCTGCCCTCTACTCTGAAACTGCCATCACCTCTCAAAAACTCAAAAGGATCTGTTAGCCCATTCAAATTATTTATACACTTTGGTGTGCACACTACCAGTGATACAAAGCAAGTTTAATTAAGGAAGGCATTTTCTGTATTAGCAAGCTGGTTTGGGAATTGGGGTTAAGTGTGGGAAGGCTTTGAAAAGCAACCAGATTTAGTCAGTCTGTGTGTGAAGATGATGTCTGAAGGCAACGATATCTACTCCCTACTCCCTGGGAGGGTGGTTTAGACTGTTCTGACTCTGTGGGGTTTTTGAGTGTGGAAGAGAATCTTGCCCCTACTCTGAGGCTGTCCTGCTCCAGCGAACATAGACCAGCCAGTCTGCAAGCACATATCCTCTCTCCAGCTCTTCCACCCCCGGCTTGGGTTCTTCTCCCACTGCTTCCAAAGCACACAGACCTTCGGGAGGGGTGTGTGTATGTGTTTGTTTTCTGAATGATTGAAATTTGACTCATATTTATTAGAGCTTTCTTTTAAAATTAGAATTTCCCTACCCAATCTAATATTATTTCAGATGAATAACTAGGTCCCTAAGATATATTTTTCTTTATTACTTTATTACTAATTAAGTATTAGTAACAAATATATAATAATAAATAAAATAAGAGCATAAAATATATATGCATATATAAAAATTATATAGTAATAGTAAAATGATAATATTCCTGATTACTTACAGTACTTCACATAGGTCATTGTATGTCTTATTATACCTCTCAGAGATAAATGTGTTTGAATTACCAGGAATTTTTTAAAAGGCTAGTTTTCCATTTGAAATCAATGACCAAAATTTAGTCAATATATCTGTAGTGGCATTTCTCTGCAAGTTAAAGTATGTCATCGTTTTCAACCAATAATTTCAATAGTAACTTAGAGAGCAGCCACTAAGTGCCAGGCATTCCCTGATGGCCCAATGAAAGCCAGACCCAGAGGACCAGAAGTAGCCACGGTCATTTCACTGAGGCCAGGGCCCATCCTATAGAAATCTAGCACTCTCCTTTCCTACTAGTTATAATGGCATAATTTATTCTTGAATAAAATTGTGGCCTATTTTGAGTTAAAATATTGAAAAATAAAACATGTAAGCATACCCACAGATGTATTTTGCAAATTTAACTCTACATATAAAAAGAGAGTACTTTCAATACTTTCTCCCACTTTTCCTTTTACTTGCTACAATGTAATTTACATTTTTCTTGATGAATACTCCATATTTAAAAAAATGAGTAAGTCTTCATGTTCTTTAAGTGTATAGTAATTTTTACTTTTGTGCCTTTCCATAGAGGCAAAGACCCTTTGCCCCATGAAAGCAATGATCATTGACCGTGTTCACCTTTGAATCTGCAGCTCATAAAACACAGTGCCTCCTGCTTAGCAGTGCTTAGTATTCATTGAATCAATTACCCTTCTTGGAGACATCCCTCACCTCCCTACCTCAAGCTTTCTGCAGATTCAGTTTCAGCCCCACATCCTCTAGAACAGCTTCCCTTAACTAGATATTTTACTTAGTATGGTATATTACTAAGGTGGTACTTTGACAATTAATTTAGGTGCTTTTCAAAATCTTTTGCCTTTAATGTATTTTCACTATATTCCTGTCACCTTTAAATTTGTGTCCTACTCCAGTATTTAAGCCCCCATCACCAAATGCATATAACACATTAGCATGTACATGTAAATATTCAACTCATGTAAAAGAGACGAGCAGTTAACCATGGTAACTACTCATGCATGCAACAAACATTCACAGACTTCCTACTCATTCCTGGCACCATCCTGGGAATGGCCAGCACAGCATTGTGTAGACAGACATACCTCTTGGAGCTTAATACCCCCTAGTAAGAGACAACCAAGCAAATAAATGAGGAATGCAAGAATATCAGGTACTGATCAGTGCCACGATGAAAATGAGGCTGTTCAAGGGTGTGACTAGAGGCTAAAACATTAAAAAGAAGAAGTAGAAGAAAACAGTTGATGATGGCCTCTTGGAGGAGTTGACAATTGATCTGAGACCTGAGTGCCACATAGGAACCTGTTCTGGAAAGATGTGAAGGAATAGCTGTTGGAGTGGTATTGGGCAGGAATGAGCTGGATATGTTAGTTGGAGGGTAGTGATGAAAAAAAATTCTGGTAAGCATATCAGGGGTTTGAGATGCTGCCAAGTGGAGAAACAGCCAAGTAAAGATGTCCTGTAAGCAGTATGTTTGGAATCCTGGTGGTATTGGGCAAAGAAGGCAATGGGGGCAAATATAAAATTAGCTTATGGTACTTTTTCCACAGGGTGACAGTAGTCCATCCTGGGACAGTGTAGCCATTGAAAATATAGAAGCCCAGGACTGAGTCACAAATGTGCCAACATGTCAAAGTAAAGCCAAGGAATCTACTAGAGAGACCAGAAAACAAATTAGAAAGAAATCTAAGAGAGGGTGGTGTCAAGAATGTATTTCAGGGATGAGAGCTTAGTCCACTCTGTTGAGTGCTGTTGGGAAGCTGAGTAAAATGGAATGGAAACTGTGTTAGCATTTTGTAGTCACTGTGCTCTTTCCGAGGGCAGTTGTACTGGACTCAGATGTGGATAGTAGCTTATTTCAAGTGGGTCAAGAAAAGTGCTGAGAAAAGGTGGACAGAGCAAAAGTTAACCATGCCAAGTTTTATTGGGAAGGGGAAATGAAGCAGCAGGAGGAAGACTGGGGGCTAAAGATAGAATTTTTTGTTGAATTTTTTAGAAGAGCTACTGGAATATGCTTGTAAGTAATGGAATAACCAAGTAGAGAGGAATAGAGGGAGAAATTGACGAGACAGCAAAGGGAGGGTGAAAATGCAGTAGCAAATTTCTTGAGAAGTTAAAAGGGATTGGCTTCTAAAGCACTGGTGATATAACTAGTTTTTGATGGGTGCAGGGAGTAACTACAAATATGAACACTATTTCACAACACAGAAATACTTCTGGTTAAAATGTGGAGAAACTAAAGCAGGCCAGGTGGAGCCACATGAATTTGCTGATTTGGAGCCATTTGTTTGATGGGCAAAAATACCATTTTTCTTTTTTTTTTTTAGTATAGTATCATTGGTATACAATTTTATGAAGGTTTCATGTGAACAACACAGTGTTTTCAACATTCACCCATATTATCAAGTCCTATCAGTGTCGTAAGATGCTATAGAGTCATTACTAGTCTTCTCTGTGCTGTACTTCCTGTGACCCACCTATATTGTGATTGTGAATTATAGTGCCCCTTAATCTCCTTCTCCCTCCTTACTCACCTTCCCCAACCCCTTCCCTTTGGTAACCGCTAGTCCCTTCTTGGAGTCTGTGAGTCTGCTGCTGTTTTGTTCCTTCAGTTTTGCTTTGTTGTTATACTGCACAAATGAGTGAAGTCATTTGGTACTTGTCTTTCTTCACCTCTCTTATTTTACTGAGCATAATACCCTCTAGCTCCATCCATGTTGTTGCAAATGGTAGAATTTCTTTTCTTTTTATGGCTGAGTAATATTCCATTGTGTATATGTACCACATCTCTTTTATCCATTTATCTATTGATGGATACTTAGGTTGCTTCCATATTTTGGCTATTGCAAATAATGCAGCGATAAACATAGGGGTGCATATGTCTTTTTGAATCAGGGATCTTGTTTTCTTTGGGCAAAAATACTACCATTTTTCTATGGACCAAAAATAATAATATGCATACAGGAAATGATTTAAAATATACAAATATACAAATTGAGCTCAGGGATGTTTTTGATTTTCTCTTTTTTCTTAATTTTGTGGAATGTTTTCACATAATTTAAAAATATACAAGGGAAATAGTAAATGCCTCTTAAATTGAATATTGCCTATTTCAGCTTAGTCTTTAGGTTAAGTTAGGGCAAATGCTGAACAGAGCAGGCAAAGAGAGAATCCAGCCCATATAATTATTATAGTTTTATCGGTATGTATGTCTGGATATCTACTACATACTTCAAGATTTCTTAGGGTCTTTGTTTGATAGTAACTCAGACATAAACATTTTAAATGGTAATAAGTGTGTGGTTTTTATAAGATTTGTCTTTAAAAATGTTTCTTTTGACTTAAAGGTTTGTGTTTTCTCTTGTCCCAGGCTTATTTATATTTATCTTCCACTGTGCTATGAAGGAGAATGTTCAGAAACAGTGGAGGCGGCATCTCTGCTGTGGTAGATTTCGGTTAGCTGACAACTCAGGTAAAGGAGCATGTTGCCTATTGGTTTTTACATCTAAGAGTAGTTGGCAATGTTTTTCACTTGGTCTTCCATGTCAGAGCAACCCAGTGTCTTGGGTAGCAAGTTTTAAAGGTGTCATGTGTGAAGATGCTTAGCTAGAGTCTTGGAATATTAGGACTGCAAAAGACCTGAGGACCCTGGGCTCAAGCCTCCAAAGGAGTAGCATGAATTCTAGTCAGGTTAAGAGAGTTGCCCAGAGTTTTATGTCTAATCGAACAACACAGATATCCAGAGGTTCTACTATACCTTATGTATCTTTCCACATTTTTGAGGTCCTCAATTATGTTATTAAGGAAAGAGATTTTTCTCAGTATAAAAAGTTCATTAAGGAAAGTATTACCTTTTTTTTTTTTTTTACCATCAGTGGTTGCTTCTCACCCTTAGAATATTAAAGTAAGATTTTAAACAACACATACAAGGTCATAGAGTAAGACATTTATCTGTTTCTTCAGTTTATTATTTACATGTCAGTCTCTTCTCTGAGCCATTGCCAATATATCAGAAAATTTAATGCTCTGGATAAATTACTTCAGTAATGTAGTGATGATTCTTTAGGGCAGAACACATTCCCTATCTAGTGGATTCATGGAGAGATGTATTTCTTTCAGACTGGAGTAAAACAGCTACTAATATCATCAAGAAAAGTTCTGATAATCTAGGAAAATCTCTGTCCTCAAGCTCCATTGGTTCCAACTCAACCTATCTTACATCCAAATCTAAATCCAGCTCTACCACCTACTTCAAAAGGAATAGCCACACAGGTGAGTCATTCTGACAGTGGTAAAGGTGTTCTCTGATATAGTCCTCATTACATCTCATTGCCAAAATTTGCATATCATGAAGATTGCTAGATTACAATGCCCATCAGTATGCTTATTTTAGATTTATAAAAATCAAAATCTATTTAAAGACCTTATTCAGCA